TAATTGGTTACGCCAGAGAGAAAAATGAGAGGCGCAATGACGGCGATTTTCTTGGGACGCTTTTGCTAGGCCGTACAGTAGCGCCACACATCCACTTTCAGGAATTGGAACTACGAGCCACATTCACTTTTCGATACTGTCGATGAATTTGGTTCATGTCCGTGCTATGTATACATCCACTTTTCGATATTGTCTGTCTTTGGTGGTTCGTGTCCGAACTACGCAGCTGGAGGGGATATGGCCGTGGCGGCACGCGCCGGCTATGCCACGATGCCACGCATTTCGAGTATCGTGTCTCGTGCCTCGCTTGCCAAGACTGGGACACTAAGATTGAGAATTGAGAATTGAGAATTGAAAATTGAGAATTGAGAATTGAGAATTGAGAATTGAGAATTGGGAATTGGGAATTGGAAATTGAGAATTGAGAATTGAGAATTGAGAATTGAGAATTGAGAATAAAGAATTGGGAATTGGAAATTGAGAATTGAGAATTGAGAATTGGGGATTGGGAATTAAGAATTGGGAATTGGAAATTGGGAATTGGAAATTGGGAATTGGGAATTGAGAATTGGTAATTGGGGATTGGGAATTGGGAATTGGAAATTGGAAATTGGTTATAAAGAATTGGGAATTGGGAATTGGGAATTGGGAATTGAGAATTGGGAATTGGGAATTGGAAATTGGGAATTGAAAATTGGAAATTGGGAATTAAGAATTGGGAATTGGAAATTGGAAATTGGAAATTGGGAATAAAGAATTGAGAATTGAGAATTGGGAATTGAGAATTGAGAATTGATTCAATTATCCTCTATTATCAATTCTCAATTCTCAATTTTCAGTGTCCCAGTTTTGGCAGGCGAGGCACGAGACACGATACCCAAAATGCGTGGCATTATGGCATTATGGACTCCAGTCTTGGGTGTTCGATAACGACGTATTAACCAATCGTACAATGCGCTTCCTAGGGACTTGCGCGACGATTCCTTATCTCTATGAAGCGAATCTTTCTTTGGTGGAAGCACATAAAATTGCAGGAGACATAAGCAGAATGCAGAAGTCATATGCGCATGCGCTATGGTATCTGTTAGAGCTTTACGGATACCATAGCGCATGCGCATATGGCTTCTGCTTTCTGCTCATGGCTCCTGCAATTTTATGTGCTTCCACCTTTAGAGTCATTAGACATCGAACACATGCAAATCTTTCATAAGCAAGATACAAATGGAAGGATGAGATCGTAGACCCAATAAACCATATATTATTGACTTCAAGCAATTTTATTCAAACTTATTTGACGATTAATTCGTCGAATAATAAACACATTTTGTTAATATAAATAAAATAATTTTTTATTTGACAAATAAAAAATAAAATTAAACAAAAGTAATAATAACTATCAAGTAACAACTACACTTTATTATAACATGAATAGATTATTTTCTTATACGATATATGAAAAATAAAATAAAATTAAGACTAATTATAATTGGAAACTTTTGTAAGGAATTTTGCCAATTAAATCAATTGTTAAATTAACTAATCGGCAATCAACTTCTGAAGCAATATCGTATTATCTATAGTTAATTGTAAATATATCGAGTTTGATCAAACTTTGAAGTTGCCCGTGGATACTTTATATAACAAGGGGTGAATGGTCGGCAAAATGGCAGATTCTTTGGAAAAATTAGTCATTGCACGGGAAAAGAATTTTGTTAAACAAAATATTCTTCGCGCGAAACGTTCCTATCCGGCAGAGCCCAAGTGGCGATCCGTTGATACTCGTCACGGCGACACACATGATTTAAAGAGGAGTGGATTACTTCCGATTTACGTGCATAAGAAAGTACGAGTATTGCGTGTGCATGCGGAAGGAAGTTACTCATACTGTTTACTTCTAGCCTCTCGTGTTACTTATTCTTATCGTTTTAGATAATTATTTTTTATTTTTATCGACACTATTTTTAAAAAGTCTCATCTCCATATATATTTATCCAAGTTAAAAAATTAGTTTCCTTTATGAGTAACTCAAGTTCAGTAAGTAACTTAATATTATACGTCATTTTCAATCGATGATATTCTTCAGAATTATGGAAAAGTACCGAGATTTGTCGCGATATGCGCGAAAGCCGATGCGAGGGTAGAGACACCCGAACGGCTTGATGAAGATAAGGTATCAAGAGTACCGGTATGCCGATACATCGACAAGGAGGAGCGAAGAATGGTGCTGGATGTAGGTATTTAATTAGATCTCCACAATCCTCGCAACTCCTGGGCCCGTATTCCGTTCCTGCCTACCGACAACTGTCGGTTCGATAAGTGTCGTTGCGCAGGTTTTTCATATCGTGTAAAAGCTGCGCAACGACACCGACAATTGTCGGTAAGCGGATTTTAGCGGAACAGAATACGGCCCCTGCTAATATAATTCGCACTGAAAGTGACCATGACATTACATCCGGAAACAGGGCATGAAGCAGAAGTGGGAGGAAACGATGAAACAATTTCAGGGATTGCCTTTTCTCGCAGACACGTTACCAAAGGCGCAGAGGAAGGCGAGGATGGAGCGCGAGTTGCAACAGCTCGAGAAAGACATAGCAATTATCGAGCAACATCCGCATATATACGTTTATGACGACGCGGTGCACATATTGTAACGCCTAATATAATGAGCTGACATAATCAAAATCTATGTAATATAATTGGTATTCAAATATTCCTGGAATTTTTATGAATTATATGTAATATAGAAACACAGATTACATACGAACGTCGAACCGAGATTATATTAGAGGAAGTAAACATACATATATAAATGTTCTTTATACATAATTATATGCATTTGTTTTCATGTAAAAAATTTTTTACTGGGTGATTCATATGTACTTGGCCAGAAATGACCGTTTTTTTAAAGATGAAAAAATTTGTGAGTCATTCGTTTAATTGTAATTAATTATTTATTTTTACACCATTATGCATTTAGTCGAAATAGATAAATTAATAAAAGTGGAATCGTTTGTATTTTGTATGAAGAGTTATAAAGTATGATTAAAAATTTAAGGTTTGTGAGTCACCCAGATAATTTTAATTAAATATTTATGACTCGGTAATTAGCCAAAGTATAGATTTTTAATTATTTATATTGAAAGAAGGCGCGACTGTTCCCGAAGTTCCATTGACTGTCGCACCACCTACATATATTTGAAAATTTTGACAAATCGCCAAAACTCACGGTATGCCCCACAGATCGGATGTTTTAAATTCAAAGTTGAAAAGAGATATATCACTGTGGCAAATCCAACAAGGTCAATAAAAAAATAATACAAACATTTTTTTATATTATATATTGTGTATATTGATAGTAACTTAAAATAATAATGTGTGAAATAATACTGCCAGTTTTCACGATGCTAAAAATATATGAAGGGGTAAAAGCCATTAGTGGTGTAAATTTTTTAAAATATTGATACAATATATAAATTGCATCTATGCACACAATATATATATATATATATAAAACACAAACCATAATAAGATTCAGACATTCTTTCTCATGCAAAATGACAATAGCAGATAGAATAGAAAACAAGAATAATTTTAATGATAATAGTTTCAAGTACTTCTTGTTTTTATCTGGTTATGTATCCAAGTTTTTATCTAAGCATTTGTACGGTTCTTTAATACAGGATATTTGGTTTTTATTTCGTTAATTTCATAAATAGATGGTAATTTTTTATTTTCCATGGCAGTTCGGAATAAAGATAAAACTATTGTGCGTTCCTCATCCATCCATCTCTTGTTTTTTCTTGTTATATAGTATCAAAAGAAGATGCTAAAATAATAAAATTAATTTAGTATGTTAACAGTGTGTTAATCTAGTATATTTATTATGAAATATGTTATTTAATAAAGAGCAACGTGAACATACTTAATTCAAAACTTTACTTTTCTTTTTATTTCTCTCTGTATTATTATTTACGTTCTTTCTCCTAAACACTTCTTCAGATTGCTTTGTCTCTTTTAATGATAAAGTATTGGAAATATTTAAATCTAATTCTGTATTAAATTCATCGTCTGATTCGGTCATATTTTCACTATTATGATTAATTTTCCTTTTAGGAGCTAAAAAGCGGTTCACTGAAATAATGACAAAATTCACATTTGTGTATAATATATGTTTATACAGAATATGAATATCTGTTAAGATAATTACTAATAATAGAAAAAAGAATTTAAAAAAAAATATCATTATTTGAAAAACGCAAAGTAACGTCGAAAAATTTAAGAAAAAATTTTTCTTTTGCATAATTGCAATTTACATCAATGACAATAATGGAAGAAATTATTTAAACTTACCTTTATTTTTCTTTATATTATTATTTATATGATTATTGAAATCTTTCTCTTTGATAGGCAGCTGTTCAGATTGTCTTGTTTTTGTTAATGCTGATAAAGTATCAGAAATATTTAAAATTGAATGTATGTTATTATCATTAGTCATATTATTCTCATTTTCATCCTCATCAACATTATCGCTTTCATCGCTTGCATCTTCTCCTTGTGTGTATTTGAATAAACGTGATATAGCCAAATTTGTTATGACGGACTGTTTAGAATGCGATTTATATATTTTTTCGTGATGGGGCTTAAAATCCGTTAGATCATTCACTTCATGTTCAGATATAGCTAATGAAATGCATACTGTAGCAATATGTTCCCATAATATTGTATTTCGTAACGAAGTTGGTATTTTCAATCCAGAAATTATAGAATGTTTTCGCATTAATACACTTGCTTTTAAATATTTATATCTGTTTTTGTCGATTGTATATATACCAAAGATATAAGGATTATTTTCGGGAACACCAGCATGTTTACGATAATTAACAATCATTTGCATACATTTTAATATTTCTTCATGGAGCAACACAGGAACTAGTCTTCCTAAATTATCGCGTATTGTCATTCGTACATATTTGGATAAAGATTTATATAATTCAGGTGCTTCTTCTTTAGAAATTGCTGTACAATTTTTTAAATTTTCAATTAAAATACGCTCTAGTTCACCAGGATGTCTTCTATTAAATACCATAATAGATACTAATGTTGTTTCAGCTAGCATACGCCATGCTTGAATCGAGAAACCAGTTGTTTGTAAAAATTGTAGAGCTTTTGTGCGTTCAAATTTGAGATAAGTATTGAACATCTCAATATCATCTATTGATGGCAAGACAATATTTTTTTGTCCCCTTTTTTTATACTCTTGAGTTTCAAGTATCATTTTATTTATACTGGCAAGATAATTCTCTGTAAATAATTTCAAAAAATCTTCTACCACAGTTTGTTTGTGAAATTCTTGTTTCTTAATGCATATACTTTTTAAAACTTGCCCAACTTGTTTAATGTATCTTCCCAAAGATGATGCAACAGATAATATTTTATATGTCTCAGTCGTTTCATCAAATTGTGCAAGTTTATTGACAACTTTGATGCATTGTTCGTATTTTGTTGGATCATATATTGAAGTAAAATCTACTACACTGTCATCGATATCCCTCAAAACAATAAGAAATCGTCCAAGTAATCTCAATCGCGCTCGGATCATATCGTGATGTTGGGGACGATACTTATTCTGACACAATTTGTTGCCATAAGCAATCAGTAACTCGTCGTATCTAATAATTTGAGCTATATTGTCTTCTCTCATAACTGGGAATACCAATCTTCTTAACAATGTACATGCACTGTGATGTATACGACAAGCAACAGTACGTCCCAATAATTTTACATTTCGTTGAGGTTCTTGTTTCTGTACACAAGAACGAAAATGATGTCTTATATTGTTTTTAGCAAAAAAACCTTTACATTTTGCACAAGGAATAAAATCGGCTGCTTGTTTATTTGTTCTTGGACGCCGACATACAATTAAATCTCCTTTATTTATGTTAGAATCTGTATTATATATGAAATTTCCTGTTCGTCGAAGTATACCAATAATCTTCTTTCGTTCTGAATTACCTGAAATGATATATAAGTACAAAATCTGTGATAAATTACGATTAAATTAAAAGTAAATTAATAAAAATTTTACACATAATATTGGGTTGGCTAATAAGTCCGTGCGGTTTTTATGTGTAAATGAAAGACGCCCCTATGTTTCAGCAATTCTTAACGCTTCTCGTGGATGGCTACATTCAATTTGCTCAATTGGTACAGTATACATCCGAATTCATCGTCCTGTTCTTCGGAAGCATTTCATAGAAAACAACACCCTTCCAATCCCACCAAATTGATACTATATCAGAACGAAATCTCGCAAACCACGTTTAGCATTCTTTCACGGCATCCTCGCCGTACGCCGCATGCACATACCTATCTCTTTACATATTTGCGTCGCGTTATTGCCTTTTTTTAAATAAAAAATATGTCGAAAATGTTTATTTCAATTGTTTATCTTTTAAATGACGCCAATAATATAAAAAACACAACTAATCGTTACTCATTTTTTTTGCACGTTGAAATATCTCCTATCGAACAATTATGAGTTTTCAAGTTTAAATTAGTCGCGCTCAAAGTGCCTAATGCCCGTTCTAGACTGGAAGATGATCCTACTCTCGGCTCATCTGAGTAGTAGTGTAGACGGGTAAAAATCTATAGTTTATGTATAGTTTATATCACGTACACTATAGAAAGGATGAGCCGAGAGTAGGATCATCCTCCAGTCTAGAACGGGCATAAAGCCATTTATCGGCAAAAACCGCACCGACTTATTGACCAACCCAAATACAGTGAATATATATTACGCAATATGTATTATAATATAACGTTTGAACTTTTTGTATGTATATATAAGGTACTTTTTCAGATTTAAAAAGCTCTATTATTTGAAATAAAATTATACATATAAATTAACATAAATGGGTTTTCTTTTATTATTTTACATATAAAAATACTCATCAATATAGATAAGATCATTAAAAAATGAGTACTTAACGAAATATTTTGTATTTTATCTTAATATTTTTATATGTAAGATTGTTTTGCAAAATATTTATTTTTCCGTTATTTTATATTAATTACCATTTTTTTATAATCTTATCCAATATTTTTATACGTAGAATTATAAGAGAAATCAATTTATGTCGATTATATGTGACAAGAAAAACAGAGGGGGAGAGAAGGTGGGAGAGGGGGAGAGGGAGGAGAGAGAGAGAGAGGGAGGAGAGAGAGAAAGTGTGTGTGTGTGTGTGTGTATTTGACCAATTAGTTTTTTCAGTACAGAGAATTTTGGAATAGATTTGATATTGGTCAAGAAAGTATACTTTCGGTCAGAGTCATCTTAATTATCTATCAAGTAACACTTTCGACTTTTAGAGAGTTAAATCCAATCCAGAACAGATCAAATCTAATTTTCATAATCATTTATAAATTCATAAATTAATATTCAGTTGAAAACGTGTTTAAATTTAAATTAGATTTTGGATCAAAAACAAATAAAATATATCTGCTTTATAATAAAATAAATATAAAATATGTCTGCTTTATAATAAAACTTTAATCTAATTTAGTGCAAAGAACATTTTCAGATAAATATATTAATTCATATTTAGATTTAATATTATCGACATATAGAATAAACTACTGATAGTGCTGATGGCAGTAGAGGGAATTGTTTCTTTCTAGTAAAGCCTTTTGGTTACCCAAAAAACAACAACAATCAGGCTTTACAATAGAGAGACGGAATGTGACCTCATATTATCTGCCTCTCACTCTTTCGTGCGGCTACCCTTCCACTGCCATCAGCGGTCCATTCTATATGTCGATATTTAATATGTTTTGAGTTGGGTGGCTGCAACACTGTATTGGTATGCAAAAACTAGTAAACAATACTTTGATAATATATTTTCAAGTTAGATAAGAAAATCTTAATATAAAAAGAAAACATTAATCATTTCCGAGTTATAAACAATTGAAAAAAAAAGAAGACTTCGTGAATTAAATTAACGGATAACAAAATTTATTTTTCATAAAATTTCAGGTGATTAACTTAAGATTTCAACTTTAAAGCATAATTTTGAAGATATAAAGTATTAAAATTTAGAAAACTATGATAAATAATAATTTTCTTCGACATTTCTATATTAAATTTTCGATTTTAATTAACTTTCAAAATATTCTTATTGTTGGCAACTTTGCACATAACATACTACTTACCCTTAGGTAAAAGAGAGAACTTTTTCACATCTTCTTCATTTTTATGTATCCATTCTAAGTGTCTTGTAAATTGTGTTTGAAGTTTTTTACAATATGGGCACATACTTAATTTTTTCGATTTAGGATTGTTAGAAGTTTCCACATACATATTTCTATCATCCCATACAGCTACTTTAGATAAGCATGATGTCAAATTTAATGTACTGTTCACAGTTTTACTTTTGCTTGTATTAGTTATATATTCACGTGTATTTTCAGTTTGATCTTCATCTGTGTCTTCAAACATAGAGCAATCTGATGTATGAAAACTATCATCAAAACTATTTTTAGATGTAAAAGAAGTATCAGACTCATTGTCAGTATTATTATCGTTAATTTCATAATTTGATTTTAACTGATTCTCTATGAATGTAAATTCCGCAGGTGGAGCTAATGTACCAGTTGAACTATTATCGAGAATGTAAGTCTCATTTGCATTTAAAGAAGCATTATTGTTATTAATGATACTATATTTATTACTCAGCCGCATATTGTTGTATGGAATATTGTCAGTCTTCTCTGTAAGCATTGGAAGTGTTGTCTCTTTTACTAATATATTATTCACATTTGGTACTTCTGATAAAATCTTGAAAGATTTTTTAGGACTTTTAAATTTGTCAACGACATTTGCGTTTTCATAAATTATAAAAGTAGAGTCAACTTCATCACATTCAACGTTCTCTGTTACATCAGAGGGCTTGTTTAATATTGTCGAATTATCTTTGATATCGTTATTCACATTTGATATCCCAATATTTAACGCAGTATTAGAATTGGCAGTTAGCAATAAATCTATAAAACAATGAAAATAAAGTAGATAAATTTTTATTGCAAATAACTTATATTGCAAAAGCTGTATGTGTTTTATTATCATACAAAATATGTAAAAAAAAACTACATACAGAATATTTGTTGTATAATGTGTAATCCAATTAAGTATATGTATTATAGACTTACCACTCATTACGTTGTTGCTACTATCAATTAATGTATTAGGTTTCTCATTGATAGAAAGAACATCTTCAGTCAAATACGCAGAACCTTTTATATTCTCTATGTCATTTGTATTGTCACAAAACATCAAATCAAAACTTTGGTTTGTATTACACTGTTCAGTATCATAGTTATTGTTTGACGGAACGCAAATGTCTTCTTCAATTTTAGATTTCACATTTAATGTCCCAATATTTAATATAGCATTGGAATTAACAGCTAGCAATAAATCTATGAAACAAAATTTTTGAAAATAAAGCAAATAAAATAGTTTTATATATAAACTTAATAACATTTTTTATATAAAAACATAATTACAATGTTAAGTAAAAAGAGGTTTTATACGACCGATTTCACCATCGATTATTAACTTGATCCTCCGATTAAACTCACTCTTCATCTCTTTCTAACTCTTCCCTTATGTCCATTTCTATCAACGCAGGTTAATTTTGATCTTGGTTTAACTTACCTGTCATCTTTTCCTAGTTCTAAAAGTTAGAAAAAGATAGAAAGTAAGTTAAACCGAGATTAGAAGTTAATCTACATTGGTAGAAATGGACATTAGAAAGAGACGAAGAGTGAGTTTAATCAGAGGATTAAGTTAATCAAAGGTGGTAAAATCGACCCTTTTTTAAACATAATACTTTTATATATTAATTTAATGTATATATAATATATATTACAATACCTGCTATTGATAAAGTTGTTAACCTTACTTTTGGAATTTTCTTGTTTAAATTGTTTGCAATCTGTTGCAAGCTGAATTTGCTTTCTAAAGTAATATAAAAAAGGATTTATAGAATAATTACCCATTAGAAAAAAAATTATAATATCCTGCACTTTTATTACAAAGAAATAAATTATGCAAATAGATATCTTACGAGAATTTGACTGTTCTAGATATTCTCTTTATTTTATAGATTTAATTTTTATCATATATACTTACTATTAGTTGCAATAATGTATGATTTTTTAATACATCTTTTCTTCATTTGCCTTTCATTATAGACACTATAGTATCCACTCGTACATATTAAATTATACATTTTTGATTATCAAATCAACGCCAATAAAATTCAATATCAGTAATCCGTTTGTTTATTTTAAGATAATATAATAGCAGAGAGAAACCTGAGAACGACCACACCGATGTTTTGCTTGATTTCATGGACCATGGACTATAGTGTAAAATGAAAGGTGAATCCATGGTAGAAATACAAGGGTATGCTCTTGCGCATATTTCCGAACCCA